TTTTGAAGAGCAAGATTCTGCCAGCTGTCTGGAAAGTGCTTCAGACAGACTTATGAAGAACTGTATCTGAATCCATACTCTATTAAACTGACCCACGGCTTGAACGAGAAATCTGACAGTGCAGAAGACTGCTGTAGGGGCAGCAAGGCTCCCCTCTCTGATGGGTGAAAGTAATTTTAGGAATGTATGTCTTAGTAAAGGGAACACCTTTGACTGTATAAGTAGCAGATACAACTATTTTTGTCTCCTTAGCAAAAGCAACAGAGAAAGCTGCAACAGCAAATAATGAAAAATTTGAGCTAATTATTTTTTTTTTACATGGTCAAAATGTTCCAGGAAGCCTAGAAGCAAATTTCTTCAGAAAATTTTTCCTTCTCTGCAAACTGTTAGAATTCCTTGTGCCTAAAATTCTTTTTATCATCTTTTACTGGAATTAATTGCTTAGCCTTTTCTATGAACGAGTCTAGATTTCCAGAGATTGACAGAGTTATTTGTTCATTTTAAACAAATTTGATTAAAACCTGTTTTACATGAATGGCAGCCTCTTCCAAATACATTGTTCAATGTTACAAACTGAAAGTACTTAATATTTACAAGCTTATATTAAATTGAATTTGCAGCTCAGGTTTGAAGAACAACTTCTGTTCCAGACTAAACTCTTGATCCTTCACCACCATTTCTTCTCTCTTGGGGTTACTACTTCTGTTAAAAATTTAACTTGTTCGCCTCTTTCCTCACGATTAATTCTTTTTATGTTGTTGCCAACAGGCTAGGGAAACCTTAAAGTGTTCTGCCTGTGCAAGTATGCTTGTGAACCCCCATTCAGCCATCTTTGAAATTTCTTTATCAGACACTTCTTAGAATGCATTTAAAAAGTTTTGTCATATCATAAGGAATATATGACAAAGTGTGTATTAGACATCTAATGCCTTTTGTTGCACTTGTATGGATTGAACCATTAAAGCTGATGAACAGCATACCATCCTACTGAAGGATTTTGGCACCACACGTAAATCTAGAATTTGACTCAAAAGCAGCGCAGGTTTACTACTGTCACAATGGAATGTGACACAGAGACTGACTGCATCTGATGGCTACATCTGTTCTCTCCATCAGCAACCACACGCTCTCCTAAGATTAAACAAGTAATATCCAAAACTGCTTTATGTGTACATATATGACCAAGTTTTTACCTACCTGTTAATGGAATTTTCCTGAGCAATTCCCCCAGCATGAAAGTGTAACAATCACCTGATGCTAAAACAGTTGGACTACCTGTTGTAAAACTTTTGCTGAGAGCCTGATTTGTATTTCTTAGCAAAGGCTTCAGTAAATATCCAGCAGGAAAAAAGCCTAACGGTATCTGTTCTTCTAAATCCGGGGAGCAATTTTAACATTAGAAACAGCAAAAAAAAAAAAAAAGAGAAATGGTACAGGAGACCACAAACTGCCATTTTTTTTTCCCCAAACATACTATGAAATAGAAAAATAATTTAAACCAACTAACTAAAGAAAACAAGTATTGTCATCATATACAGACTGTTTTCATCACACTAATCTATTTCTACTCAGTCTAATATACTTTACTGTCATCATGTTGCTGTATCTCATCCTTTTTACCTCCTGAGCTGCTTTCTTGTTTTCTTATCACCAAAACAATTTTTCTGTTATCTCATTACCCTTTCTTCTGGACACCCGCCATCATCCAGTCTGTCCTCTCTCTGGGACTTCCTTTAAGTACTGATCCACTTTTCCTCGTGATGACTGGCTCCCCAGTCCCTCTCCTGTCTACCACTGACCCCCAGTGGTTACAACTATATTTGCTCAGTCTCACTGTTCTCAGATGGCTGCTGCTTCTATGGGATGAAGCTTGGATCACGAGCTAAAACATCGGGACGCAAACAACACCCCACCATTGTATGACCACTGTTTCAAGGCCACTGATCACAGAATCGAAGAATAGTAGGTAGAAACGCGCCTCTGGAAGTTACCCGG